CAGAAGAGGGCACCAGATCTCATCACAGATGGTTGTGAGCCACCATGTGGTTGCTGGGAATTGAACTCAGGACCTCTGGAAGAGCAGTCGATGCTCTTAACCTTTGAGCCATCTCTCCAGCCCCCCTAAATTGTTTTTCTTAATCATTAACCTAAGCCATAGTCTGTGTGGCTATTTAAACTAACATTATTATTATCAATTAGACAGTACATCTTAGGAAGAAATCATCTTCTTAATAGTCCACAGGTAAAAATGCCCAGTAGGACAGGTTGTTTCCATGGTATAAATACACTACATTACAGGCAGAGGGGATCTCCCTACACCCATTCACACCATGCCAGATACCAGAGAAAGATGGCAGCTGCAAACATGTGAAGGCACAGCAAAAGCAAGAGACATTCTGGAGTCTGTGGTCTCATGGCCTTGCCTATCCGAGACTCATCCATCAGGGACTTCCCTCCTGGTGGGCTGACACCCTGAAGTCAACTGCCACCTGCTGCTCCTCTGAAATGGCCATCGGCAACTGTGTAGCTCTGACTGTCCTGGAACTTGCTCTGTAGACCAGGCTGGCCTCGAACTCACAGAGATCCGCCTGCCTCTGCCTCCCAAGTGCTAGGATTAAAGGCGTGCGCCACCACTGCCCAGCATCAGTAATTTTTCTTAACGACCAGTTTGATTGAGAAATCTGAACCAGGCTTCTCTGGGTAGCTTCCCTAAGACAAGACAGCATTGTTCTAAGCTGTGAAAGCTAAGGGTTGTGTTCCATAAGTAGGCCAGGGCCCCATATCAGCGCTGGGAAGGGAGGCTGAGGGGGAGGGTGGTTCACACCAGAAACCACAGACTGTTCTTTTCCTCTGTGCTCAGAAGCCTTTTGATTATGGTTCTTCTTTCAGACAGGGCAGATGGGATACATGTGGCTATGTATCCAGGGAGCGTGTGAGCCGTCACGGTGCACCCTATCACTTCGCCTGCTTTCTTTTTGCAGAGTATTCTGGGAAGGCATGCCTTCCTGGGCTGCAGAGGGGTCATTTGTGTTGTCTGCTTACCGTGACTGCACTGAGTGTAAGAAGAATTGTGTATGCTGTGTTAAATTGACTTGGAATTGTTAGGTATTATAACCAGTGTTGTGTTTTGGTGTGTGCATGTTTTCTTTATCCCTTTTTTTTTTTTTTTTTTTTTTTTTTTTTTTTTTTTTTTTTTTTTCTTGACAGGGTTTCTCTGTGTAGCTTTGGAGCCTATCCTGAAACTCACACTGTAGCCCAGGCTGGCCTCGAACTCACAGAGATCCTCCTGCCTCTGCCTCCCGAGTGCTGGGATTAAAGGCGTGCGCCACCACCGCCCAGCTTTTTTTTTTTTTTTAATAAACAAAACAAAAACCAGTCTTAATAGTTTTGCACAAGTTATTAACCTGGTTATAATTTTACAATATAAGGAGAATGGATAGGCGGTTCCTCCAGCCTCCTCTGTGGTACATCCTTCTGTGTTGTGTCAGCAGCAGGACCCAGTGCTCCATCAAGGATAATAGCTTCCAGTACACAATCCCCCATGACGACTCCTTGAGTGGCTCATCGTCCGCCTCCTCATGTGAACCCGTGAGTGATTTCCCAGTGTCCTTCCGAAAGTCCACCTACTGGATGAAGATGAGACGGGCCAAGCTGGCCGCCCCGCCACAAGTGGAAGGTATCCGTTTCAGACTCGCAGTTCTAAGACAGGCTGCTCGCCATCGGTGATTAGACACGATTTTGTCTGAGACAGGCTTTGACCGTGGGGCTCAGGCTGGCTTCAGGTTCAGTGTTGAACTCAAGCTAGAGTCCAACTTAGGATACTCCTCCATCAGCTTTCAGAGTGCTGGGCTTACACTGCAACCAGCTTGATTGGACAGATGCTAAGGAGTTAGTCTGTCGGGTGCTGTTAACTTCATGACCATCCTTTGTCGATGGAGTGAGTTTCTGCCAGTCCCACTTACCGGCAGCTTTCTTCTTCATGGGATTTGACCTTTTTTTCTTATTCTTCTGTTGCCCTCTGCTTTTGGGAATGTGGGGGCTGGGCAGTAGATTATCATGGTAGTGTATGCTGGAGGGTCACAGTCAGTGATTCATAGCGTCTTTATTGAGCTCTGCTTCTGTAGTTCTAAGTCGCAGTCAAGAGCAACGTAATAGGCCCTTAAGCCAAGGAAGAGCAGATGGTTTCTGAGGAAAGATGGTCTAAAAGGAAGAGGGAGTCTCTGTTACACCAAGTTTCCTCAGGCTTTTCTGGGAGGGTGTTTCCTGGTGACCCGTGCCTTTGGTGGTATTGTGGTAAGTTTTTGGAGGCTGGCCCGGGAGTTCACTGACAGACATTTGTTGTGTGGTGTGTCAGGCGCAGGTGCACAGGAAAAGGAGAAGGCCAAAGGAAAAAGGAAAATCAAGCAGGAAGAAGATGAAGACTACCGTGAGCTTCCTCAGAAGAAGCACAAGCTCTATGGTAGGGCCCCTGCACTGTCTGTCCTTCTGTGAGAGACTGGGCGTCATCCTTTAAGGCCTGAGGGAGAAAGCCTTTGGTTTGGAGGCTTGGTTGGCCTTGGAGCCCCTAGAATTTGGGTGAGGGAATGGCCTTCACCCGCCTTCCTGTACCGTTCCACTCAGTTTCGGGGAGGGGGGGGCTCGTCTGAAGAGAAGGGGAAGCGGCCTGTAAAGTCGACACGTCAGACTTCAGATTTCTGAGTTCCTGTCTCATGTCAGGGAGGAAGCAGCGGCCGAAAGCTCAGCCTCACCCAAAACCCCAGGCTCGCCGGGTCCGGAAGGAACCGCCAGTTTATGCTGCAGGTATGCTTTCTCTTTGAATGTGTGTTGTTTCTGTGAGGAAGGATGTGCCGGATGAGGCTCTCACTTCTCCCTCCCTCTGTCCTTCTCCTTCTGTCTGTGTGAGGATTTGAACCCAGCACTTGGTTTGTGCCAGGCATGCACTCTACCAAGCCTCGCTGCAGTTCTTGGAAGCAGCAGCTGCTGGTTTGGGGTCATGCAGACTTTTAAGTTTTGGCACATTATGCCTCCTGCCCTTTCTCAGTCTGTTTTCCTTGTACAGCCCTGGGTTTCCTTGTATGTAAGCAGACAAAAAGTATGAGAATTATACAATGTAAATGACATAAAACACATTTAGCGTGGTCTCAGGCACGTAGGGGAACAATCTCAGACAATGGTTTTACATGTCTCAGCATCTTTTTCTTAAATCACGGTCTGAAAAGTGGTACCCAGTTGTGTGTGTCAGCGGGCTTTGGAGTGAGCCTCAGATGGGTTTTTATCATGGGGAACTAGGTAGAAGTTTCTGGAACTCTGCAGTTATGTGTGGAAGTTAAATACCTCAGGAGTCTATTCATTGTCGCCTACCAAGGCAAACCATTTTTCTTTTTCAGAAAGAAACCATAATACTTTTCCTCAATTGTAGACTTAAGCTTGTTGTTTCCGGAGAATGCTACAGATTACAGCGTCCTATTCTTTCCTTGGCAGGAAGTATGGAGGAAAAATGGTACCTAGAAATCATGGATAAAGGCAGTGTGTCCTGTCCTACCTGCCAGGCAGTGGGGAGGAAGACTATAGAGGGTCTGAAGAAGCACATGGAAAACTGCAAACAGGTTCGCCATTTTGTGCATTTCCTGACTGTTGGGATGGTTTGGTTGTTGTTGTTGTTGTTGTTTGTTTACCTAAACTGTAGACTTCTGGTAGTGTGTGTGCAGTCTGTTGTAGTTACTAAGGGGCAGCAGTGTGCAATAGAGAAAACACAGATTCTGCACGTCTGTTTAATTGTTCTACTTGTTGCTGTTTTAACGTGTGGACCTTGGTTTCCTCTCGTAGAATGCAGAAGGGATGACAGCAGCCTTGAGGGCTGTGTTGTTTTATGTCACTGGGACCAGATTCCTGACCAACAGTTAAAGGGGAGCGTTTGCTTTGACTCATGGTGTGAGAGAGGGCATAAGCCCGATGGTGGCCGGGAAGGTGGGACGGCTGGAGTGACTCATCTGTAGGTGCCAGGAACTTGTACCAGAGCTTTTCCCGTGGCAGTTGAATCAAGACAAAAAATAAATAAAAAAACAAGGAGGAAGCAGGCGACTCCTAAGCCACCCTCCTCCAGCCAGACCCCACCTCCTGAAGGTTCCACACCGACCCCCCCACCCCAGCAATGGCACCAGCTGGGGACCACGTGTTCCACACATGAGCCTGTGGGCAACATCAGATTCAGGCCATAACGTGCGATGAGGAAGAAGTGACCCAGGCTGGCCTGGCCCAGCTGGTGGCATTTAGTGACCTTCTGTGTCCCCCTGAGCATCTGGCACTGAACACTGACTGACTTCTCTCTTTTCAGGAAATGTTTACCTGCCATCATTGTGGGAAACAGCTTCATTCACTGGCAGGGATGAAGTATCATGTGATGGCCAATCATAATAGCTTGGTAAGAGTTTCCTGTGTTCTTTGTGAGCCTATGTGATGGTCATATACACACACATTCATGCATACATACATGTATATGTGCATATATATATATATATATATATATATATATATATATATATACTTGCATGCATACATATACATACACATAAATATTTATGTTTTTAAGTTTTTTAAGTTTGTTTTTTTTGAAATACAAAGTATGAGGGAAAGAGGAATCTTTATCCACCGTTGGTAGGAATATAAATTGATGTACCATCATGTGAGTGAATATGGAGGCTCCCTCAAACAGTCAAGAATAGAACCACATAAGTATTTATGGTCACTTACATCATACCTGTGCATAGACCTAAAAGACTGTAAGACACCATACCACAGATACTTCACACCCATGTTTATTGCTGTATAATTCATGAACACCAAGAAATTGATGTGAAAACACCTCCCTCCCTCCCTCCCTCCCTCCCTCCTTCCCCCCCTCCCTCTCCTCTTCCTCCCTCAGGTAGCACCCTATAGTCAGTCTTGCTTGGAACTCACAAACCCAGGCTGGCCACCAATTTGCAGCAGTCCTGCTTCAGTTTCCTTATAGACATGGTCCTGGTTTAGTCGGTGTTTGTTTTGTTTTGAGACAGGATCTAATGTACCTCCGGCTGGCCTCTAATGGGATAAATCCGCGGAGTCTATTTGATGGTCAAAGGAATTTATTCGGGGGTATTAACTCACAACCACAATAAAGGAGTTGGTCGCGGAATCTTGGAGGGGTGGGGCACGGTCCAATGGGGTTCTCAGGAGAGTTCTGCCTTGATCTGCACCAGCATCCAAGACCACGAGGTAGCGAAGAGAAGAGAGTGCACATACGTACATGCATCCCAGGTCTTAGGGGTCCCTGGTGGTCATGCCCAAGGGGCAGGTACCCCGCAGCTACCTGATGTCTCTCTAGGGGTGGTGCCAGGGCATGGCACAAACAACCACCCACTATATCTCCCCCTTTTGTATAAGGAAGAAAGGTCTAACCTAACACAAAACTATATACAATAGAAATAATTACCAAGGAGAAAAAAAGGGTATAACAAACAAATGGAACAACCACCAACAAGAGCAACATCAAACAAGAGACACATACTAAAATCCAGAGAAATCTAGAACATAGGTAAATGGCACATTACAGAGACCATTCCAAAAGGTGTCCTATCCTGAAGAACCTGAATCCAATACTTAATATGTTCTAGCTAAGATACAAGAAGATTGTAACTGTAACTGTTAGTCTTCAATCTCATCAAAGACCTGAGAAGGAATATAATAATACCCGAGAAAATGGGAGATGGACGCGAGCAACTTTCGGAAATCTTTCGAGAATAGACAGAGACAGCTGACAGCCTGGACAGTCACCTAAAGTTTCTTAGCACCATTGGGGCATCCAAATTGGCTACGGGCCCTAGAATATCTGACAGACCATTTTCAGAAGCAAGAATTTTGAAAGACCATCTTACCCTTTCTTGGCAAAGTTCAGTAGTCACCTTTCCTTGTGTCCCACTCATTCAGAAGGGACAGCATTCATACTATCAGCAGTCGAGGCAAGGGCAGTTCTTTGCCCAGGCCATGTTGTGCCAAGAAGACAAACTTCCAAACGGGAATGTCTAGAAGCCCAACATTCTCTCTAGATCAGATCAGTTCTGCCAAGAGCAATTGTGTCTTACGTCAACAGAATTCTAAGTTATATTTAAATAAGCCATATTCTCTAGGTCTATAAAGTGTTTGAAGATTACCTGTCTATCTGACCTATGCATCTGTAAATCTGGACAACCTAACTAACAACTATAAAGATGACAAGCGTGGGTGACTATAAATCTGTAAGTTTTATCTACCTGAATAACTTAATGACTAAGGCTTCACATAAACAAGGTAAACAGTCTGTAAACAAATGTACAATAAAAGAACAATGACCTAAAAATTGTGACAATACACAAAATATCTTTTTTTTTGTTTGTTTTGTTTTTTGTTTTTTGTTTTTTTGTTTTTCGAGACAGGGTTTCTCTGTGTAGTTTTGGTGCCTATCCTGGAGCTCACTCTGTAGACCAGGCTGGCCTCGAACTCACAAAGATCCGCCTGCCTCTGCCTCCCGAGTACTGGGATTAAAGGCCGCCGCCACCGCCGCCGCTGCCACCACCACCACCCAGCTGGCATGAATGTGGGTATCATGGCATCATTCTGGACTGGGTAGAGTCATCGTTGTGGACCCCCATTTTCCTTCTGCAGACTTCAGAGATTACTATTGGAAAAACTTATTTTTTACTGTGGAAAACTTGAACATTTTTGATACCAAGATGGAAAGTTTTGGATTTATTCTGGATAGAGAAAGATATCTTTGAAAGCAAGGACAAGCATGGAAAGAAATGGAATCTAGAGGACAATGGTCCATAAATTATTGATTTTCTTCTGTTCCATACCAGGCAACTCTTTCAATATGAGACAGAATCTCCTGATTTTTCTTTTAGCAATATGTTTGGGTTTAGAGAAGGAGAAAGTCACATTCTAACTCCAAAGCCAGCTTGATTTATAATTGAATTGGGATCACAACTTTTCTAGAGTTAAAGAGATATAGATGTTAGGCAGTGAGATACTACCCTGGGTAGATTGGTACCAATAGATTTTTTTCTTCTGCTGTAGACACCTGGGTATCCAAGGCCTTATGACTTCTGGAAGATGGTTATTCCTATTATCTTGTAAAGACAGAAAACAGAACCCTGCCCCAACCTTTGTTTGTTGAGTTTTTCTTATAACTTGTAGAGATGTCACATCAGTGGATAAGCTTTTACTTCTTCTTATCAAGGGGTTTCTCCTGTTCAAATTGATTTTTTATTAATTTTGTTGGTATCTATAGCTTTTCTTCTCCTGCAGAAACAAAAGCAAAACCTCTTTCCCAACATAGGACATATCTTGGTTTCCGTTCCAAGGTCATCACATCTTTGCAGTAAAGCAGTTGGTTTAGCCCAGGAATTTTTTCTGTTGGCCAATGTCTCTCCACAGCTGTTGTCTCTTTCTCATCAGCACTGAGAAAATTCAGGGTTAATAGAGTACCATGCAGTCTATTTCTAGGGGTCATTGTTACCTTTTTCTGTTTATTTAGGATCTCCTTTTAAAGTTTGATTAAATCTTTCTATGACTGCTTGGCCTGTAGGATTGTGTGGTATATCTGTAATATGCTTTATATTGTAATTGTAATACAAAAAAGAAAGAAAAAACACTGTCTCATTTTATTTGAGACATATGCTGGTGCATTGTCAGTCTTAATTTGTACAGGTATTCCCATGATGGCCATAACTTCTAATAGGTGTGTAATCACAGAATCAGCCTTTTCAGAACTCGTAGGAGTTGCCATTGAAATCTTGAATAAGTGTCAATGGTATGGTGTACATATTTTATTTTAGTCTTCCAAATTCTGTGAAATGAAACACATCTAGCTACCAAATTTCATTTCTTCATATGCCTTTTGGATTGCTTCCTGCAGGTAATGGAGTTTGGTTATAGAAGGAACAAGTCCAACTTTTTTTTTTTTTTTTTTTTTTTTTTTTTTTTTTTTTTTTTACAATTTCCTTGGCTTGTTGCCAAATGATGGAGAAATTCTTCTTCAAACCCTTGTTATTGTTGGGCAGTGGTGGCACACGCCTTTAATCCCAGCACTAGGGAGGCAGAGGCAGGCGAATCTCTGTGAGTTCCAGGAAAAGCGCAAAGCTACACAGAGAAAGCCTGTCTCGAAAAATTAAAAAAAAAACAAGAACAAAAACCCTTGTTATTTACAGGGTGTTTATTGTGTAATTCTGAGGTTTCTAGCACATTACCTATTAGTAACTGATCAATCTCATCATTACCTGTGCTAGAGGACCTGGCAGACCCATATGGGATCTGATATATATCTCCCTATTTCTGATAATTTCCTATAATTGTATAAATAGAGAAGTTAATTCTGTATTATCAGGAATAAATTCAGCAGTTTCAATATGTAAAACAACTCTCTGCATATTGAGAGTCAGTGACAATATTGAGGGGTTTCGTGAAATCCATTAGTACTGTAAGAATAGCATACAGTTCTGCCTTATGTACAGAATTATTTGGGCTTTGAACCACTATACTTAAGTCTCCTGATTTGTATCCTGCTTTCCCTGATTTATTTGTATCAGTATAGAATGTGGGGACTTCAGAAATTGGCTTTTGCTGTACAATGTGAGGAAGGACCCATTCAGTTCTTTTTATGAATTCTATTCTCTTGCTTTTGGGATAACAGTTACTAATTTCTCTCAAAAGATTACTACAGTCTCTTTGCCAGTATTCATTATCTTTCCATAAAGAAGAAATCTCCTCATTAGTTAAAGGTACTACAATTTCTGCTGGGTCCATTCCTGTCAATTGACAAAGTCTTACTTTTCCTTTTAGAATCAAATCAGAAATCATTTCTACATAAATTTTTAATTTCTTACTTGGTTTACATGGTAGAAATATCCATTCCAATATAATACCTTCCCTCTGCATTGAAATCCTTATGGGGGAGTGTCTGGAGGGGAGTATGACCAGAATGCAGTTAAGTTCTGGATTCACATGATCCACATGTGCCTCTCACATTTTCTTTTCTATTACAGCCCATTCCTTCTCAGCTTCAGCTGATAATTCTCTTGGACTATTTAAGTCCTTGTCCCCTTTTATGGTATTGGCCAAATTTACTAGTCCATCTTTAGATTCCAATGATGGTCTGTAAGTTTGAAATGCTTCCTAATAATTTTTGAAAATCATTAAGAATCTCCAATTGATATCTCCTGAGTTGTACCTTTTGGAGATCTATCTGATATCTAAGTAATTAATAGAATTTCCTCTTTGTATCCTTTCTGAAAAGCAATTTGTAGTCCCCAGTGAGGCAAACTTTTCTTTACTTCTTCAAACATGCTCTCTAAGGTACCTGACTTTGGATCAGCTAATAAGATATCCATATAATGATAAATTATTGATTGT